TGTTGACGTTGGTTTCGGTCACCGGATGTTTCTCGTTTCCCAACGACAGGAAATTACACGGCTAGCATTTTTCCACTGCTGAATTGTAACGACACGGGCGAAACAACGGTATCACGATGCATCGAATGTTCATCGAAAATTTGACTTTTATCGAATATCTGCTTTTTCGATTGAAAGAAAGCAGAATGAGAAATTGATAACGAGAAAATTTCATCGAACGTACCAAAATTTGAGGTTAATTAGTCACGGGAGATGGTTAATTAAACGAACACTTCTGTAGGTTAAAATATTCGGTGATTTTTATTCTTTGTAACAAGCTTGTCTCGCCAGTTAGAGTAATTCAACGCTTTATCTCCTGAGTGTATTCATTTTCGACCATCAAGTGCGTCCGTTTATTCACGGAAATAAGTCATAAGCGGAGCTGGTCGAGTAAAATGGCGGCAAGTAGCGAGCGAGGCAGCAACGACGGGGTGGCGTTAAAGTCTTCAGATAGAAGAGAGGGCGGATGTAATCTTAAGTAATGCGTGCCATTCGTCAGTTGTTAAATTTCACAGCGGCAACGGCGACAAACGGCCGGCTGGATGGAGTTGCAAATCAGGAATTTGTCACGGGAAACCGCTTCTTAAACGAGTGTCCCCCCGCTTTTCAGAACTCGCGGGCACTTCGTCTGATAACGCTTTTAAATTTTCGTTAGCGAGCTCGCCCGCACCGAACCCCGCTTAAACGACGTAAAGTAAGAAAAACGGTCACACGACGGAGAAACACAGTAGACATCCACCGAGGTCTATTCACCAGCTCCGTACATTTATATTGCTCGTTCCGTCGCGGATCTCGAATGGACCAGGATCCACTGGCTTCTGTATGAACTGCCGCGCAAGTGAATTCTACCGTACGGTACGAATGTCCTTTGAATTTTCCAGCGTGCCCCTATGTACCGATGTCACCGACACGCTCCACGAGATTGAAACAAACTCCCGAATTGCTATAACCGATATTCTTATTTAACGTCTTCGACATTTTTGCATTGTGACTATCAATTTTTTTCAAAGAAATCATATAACACACCAGCTGGTTTGTTTTTAGTGTAACGTTGCAGGTGACAGTAAAACGAGTTCAACGACCTTAAATCGATCTTAAACGTGAATTACCTTGAAATAACCATCATCTTTTTTTTCAATAATTACCAGGTGCATGTCTGGAAATCGTATAATCTCATCTCAGTCATTTTTTACTGCTTCTTAATGCCAGTAGAAGTAATTAATCTTCGTTATAAACGAAGCACCCTGTATATCTAGTTCTTGTGTAAATTAGTTTAATGTAAATACCAAACGTGCCTGGCTCTGTAATCTTTTATCGTAGTACCAGATTACTAGATATTTGATAACCAGAAAAAATAGCCGCTAATCAAACATCCGATGAAAAATTGTAAATTCGTTCCACTTTTTTAACGTAATAACATCTACACACGTAAAAAATTATTAGCAATTCGTACCCTTTACTAATAATCTTCCTACTAACAGCGCACACCTAGCACACGTAACACCATTTTATCCCCAATCGCCTATTCTTTACCCCATAATACGCCCTATTTGCGCCACAGCAAATATGCAAATCCCCGAACGAGTTGAACCGCGCATTGTCTAAAACGCGATTCTCGAATTGCCGGCCAATATTAACAGATGCATATCGCGATCATTCGCCGGAATCAAAAACGATAAAGCACACAACGTACAATCGTATCCATTTTCCCCATTCTCTCCCTCTTTCTCTCTCAGTGGGCAAACAATAATTACACAGCTCGCGAAGAACGTACCGATACAATCTCGGTAGTGTCGCAACAGTGGTCTCCGCCGTGTGTACTCTGCGCTCTTTTATTTCTTCAGTTGAAACACAACAACCGCGATATCCTGTTGCAAGTGTGCGTGCGACGACGACGACGCCACGCTCGTTCGTTCGTTTTGTATTATTAAGTTTCTAACGTACTGAAAAGTGCCAGCTGAATGTGTTTCAGACGCTGGATAACTCGGAGCAACGCTAATATTGCCGAGGATCTTGCCAAATTGTCGCAATAAGCGTGCCGGCGCGGCGTCGGTGCGGCTTCTTGCGACACCGCGTTCTGATATGTTCTAGCCGGAAGGGGAGGAGGACGGGTGTGCAACCTGCTTCCTCCACAGAGGTGATTATCAACCCTCCTTCACCCTAGAGGTTAATCGAGCCGCCGCGGGAAGAAATTTTGGCTTCATTGCCTGTAGAGAAACTCCTTTTCCTCTGTCGTACCGTTCGCGATAAAGCCAGCTCGCCGGCCATTTTCCCTACGGCTTCCCGTGACGCGACCGCGCGATTTTCCTCCTATTTTTTCGCCCTCCTTGCGGGAATTCTCGTTGTCTGCCGCGGCAGTCCTTGGGAGATTCGTCTGAGCTGCGGTGTGCGGTTAAAAAGTATTAATACAGCTGAGAAATTAGTCAAATTTCGCTTGTTTCTAGATGATAGGACAAGTGTCTTTATTGTACAGGCGAAAAAATTATAATATTTTTCGTGGAATTTAAAGGCTTGAACGTAGTTTAATAATAATTTTGATTATATATTTGGTGATTTTGCCAAGTATCCAGAATTGTTTTCTTTAAATCGGCTAATGCGGTGATTGATGATGTATGTATGTACAAGTGTTTTAAGTAACAGACATGCTCAATTGGATTCATACCGGGAGAATTGCCTGGCCGTGGAAATATGGCAATTTTCAGTTTAGTAGGTTCAGTTTGTGACTTCCATATATTGTCAAAACACGAAAGATGTTGAAAACTGTAAGTGGCCCTAATTTTTTCGCCAGGGACTGTAATGTACTAACACAACGTTGGTTCGTTAAGTATTCATTTCTAAATCTTCAATCAGACCGCACTGCAACAAGCCAATCTTCTGACAATTGCATGTTGAATACCACCGTGGAACACCAGTCATAGAAGGTTAACAGGACGTGCGGTAACGTAGATTACTAAAGCCTACGCAACAGCTGGTGCTGTTTAAAATTGCATGATTAAGGGTAGAGCGTAGAGGGACGATTGTGAATTTTCGAACAGTTACCACTCCGGTTTGCTTCGAGTTTAAACATGCATAAGGTGAATTTTGCATTACGTAGAATTAAACTACGGTAACTGTAAAATACAAAAAAGGACACCACCACATTTTCTATGCATTACCAATTGTACCCGGTTGCATCTCGGAAAACCAGAAATATTAAATTCTGAACCTTCTGAAAAAATTCTACATCTTCTCGTCTTTCTCGATGATTCGCAACGAAAGGAATTCCAGCTCGTCGACGCACAATCACGAAACCAAATAATTCCGTCTGCAGTCTGAACAAGCGTCCCCCTAGTGTCTTCCTTATTCCCGCCGGCAATTGTCAACTTTCGGACACAGAGGAGAATGTTTTCCAGTATAATGCGCCTCTCGGCGAAGGCACTCGTCCCGCGGTTCTTACCCGAACGAGCTAACGACAGTTTCCATGCACTCTCGTAACGGGCCGCGTAATACGCGTTGCGTCATTAGGACGTAATAACTTCGCCGCAGTAGTCGGGCGACGACATTACCGGTGCATTAAGGTTAATTCAATATCAGCCGGGAGTTTCTCATCTTTGGCATCTTGGTGAGTCCGCGTGTACACAGTGGAAATATTGAACCATCTCTCCTTTGTTCGCCGACACAGCGACTCTTGCGGAAATAGTCGTCGAACCAGGGATGAAACGAGCTCTCGGCGAATGGCGCTCGTAAATGGGTATCAGAGTGTCAGAAAGTTTATTGAATCGGAGCCATGGTTTTTGGATTAATCCTGCGGTTCGTTTAGAGACGCATCGCGACGCGACGCGACGCAGCGGCGTCGACGGGAATTAAAACGCTGTGTGTGTGTGTGTGTGTGTGTGTGTGTGTGTGTGATCGTTGGAGCATTTTCTCTACGAACGAGATCGATTAAATGGAAAATTCATAGAGAGCTTTCACCGTGTTTTCGTTAGTTAATTTTGCCTGGCAGGATATATCGAAGTTAGTTTCGAAATAACCAATTTTCCCCGTTGATTTTTCATCTTTCTTCGGTAATTAAAGTATCGCTCGGTGTCTGTCGCGAGAAATGATAATCGAGGCGTTGATTTATTTCGACTTAACGTGTGGAATGGTATATCCCAGGTGAATATAACCACAGGATCGCGGAATAAAAGTAACAGTTGGACGGGGAGAGGACGGAGGCGCGAGAGGAGCCGGTGACAGAAAAGTTATTGGATCGTGTCTGCGGTTTAATAGGATTATTGCAATGGCCAGTCGAAAGCTATCAGCTCACGGCGCGACATCTCGAGGAGGCTCGAAATTAAACATTTCTCTCTTTCTCTCGTTCTCTATGCCTTTTCAGCATCGCCGCACGGAAACTTTTCTCCCACGGCTTATACGGGATTTCTATCAGTTTCCCAACCTCGCCGAGGTACAAGAGCATCGATATTTTGTCTCGTACGTCCTACACTGTGCCATCGATAAATCTCGCGACACACGGAATGTTTAAAACATATTCCTCCGTGAGCTTCTTTACTCCATTTTTTACCGCACGTCTTGTGTATCTCTCTTTTTAATTTGCATTCAACGTCGTGCGGTGAATTGTATTTAACTTCGCGACAGAGGAAATATCGAACAAAGATATTTGAATGTATTAAAATTATTTATTATCGGCGATAAAGCTATGTACATACGTTTAGTAAAGTCTTATTACGGTAGATCGAGTGGAATTACATTTTCTCTCTCTTTTCGAAACTTAATAGGGAACACTCTATTATTCTAGTATCTTTTTAAAATTCAAGACGACTCATAGAAGACCGTTCTACGTTCCGTCTACATCCGTAGAAATACGGAATTCTTCGAGAATATCGCAGGAGAACGGGGAGGATACGGCATTGTAACGGAGGAAATATTACAATGGCGCCGTAATATGTCCTGGATCGCGTTACGACCAGCCAGTATGCAAGGAATCAAGCTATACCGGTTACTCCGCTGATCCAATCTTTCACTTCTGCGATCGCTGTAAAGGCGGTCGGATATGCCAACTGGCAGGATCGACTCCACGACGCTGTTCCTACATAATGCAACACAGTATCGAATAAATGCATCGTCAAGCGCCGAAATAGTGAAAATAATTGAAGATTGAGAAAAAAAATTCGAGAAATAAATTAAACGAAATAATAATCGGCGAATAATCAGCGATTAAACCGTCTACCTGATATTATCGTGGAAGAACGAATGAACTTTCGATGAACGCCAAAACTCACCGAATAACGTGTTTTCGTAAACGAGAGGCGAGCCTGAATCTCCGACGCAGGGTCTAGCTTCGTCTGATAGGGCGCAAAACATCCTGTTCGTCAATACGCCGCCGTTATTCGCATCCTGACAGTCGTCGTTGTTAATTTTCTTCATGGTGGTGAGTAGAAGTTGTCCTGAAACTGGACCTAAAAACTGAGAAATCACGCTGCTGTGTTATACATTGTAAGATAGTGGCCTGAGAGATTTTTATAGTGTTCTCACCTCGGCTGCACCCCAACCAGGAACTCGAACTAAGGAACCTTCGGTGATAGTTGTATGCGTTCGGGGCAATTTAATGGGCTGCTTTGTACTGCCAAATGTTATGCTCCGAGAGAGCTACGAGCGAAACGAATATTCAGTTCTATACTTTGAGTAACTATAACTAACGATAAATTCTCTTCTAAGGTTACTAGAAGGTAAGGATTACAGTGTCCGAATGTTACAGTAGCTGTTGAAATATCTCTCAGTTAGTAGGAATAGTCGAGACAGTAATTTCTCAGATTACATCGATTACTAGATTATATGGATTAATTTACAATAAAAAACGAAATATTGAAAAAGAAGAGAATTTGCAATCACTCGATAGATTAAACGACAGTTAGCATTATTCGATAAAAATCTTTGAACGAATCGTGAAACAAGCGTGTAACAAAAATATCCAAGGATTCTACCGATTAGTCGATAATTCCCACCTTTCCACGTATCCGCGCTTGAAACATTCATTTCAATAATACCGCGACAATCGTAACAGCCACTAAATATTCTCTCGAAGCTGACACACACCATAATACGACAGGCGAGAACGTAATACCTCAACGAGACCAACGTCGTAGTCGTAATTAATTACGTTAAAGGCTGGATGTATCACGACGCTTTGGACACCATAAATGTCACCGTCCTCGTAATAACTCGACGAGCCTGCTCTCACGTGGAACGGTTTCACTTGTATCCTGTAAAATGGCCCACGAGACGAGGATAGAGGGAGAGAGAGAAAAAATAGAAATGCAACGCGTATCGAAACGCCTGGACGAATCGTATGCACGTGAAAATCGTTCGACAAAGGGGGAAACGCGATATATATTAATCTTGCCTGAGAGCGCACTGTGCCGATGTTATTATCCACTTTTCCCCGACGATACCGCCGCCGCAGAAATGCTCGACATCGTGGCCGAAAAACGTGCCATTGTTCTGCAACGAGACCTGCGACGAGAAGCAACGATTTTCTAAATGCCAAATCGACCGTGAAGATCGATCGCACCGGTTATACTAACCGCAAATGGATATTCCTCTATGGCGGTCCTCTCTCCTCCGATAATCCTGGATTCCGGGGATCTCGCTGACTCCGAGACGATTCTTTCCCGATAATCGTCTGTACAACATTCAAATCAGACCCGAACGTTTAATGCGTTCGCATGATACGGCTACGTAGATGCCGTTCAATCGGTTAATTTCTCTTCTATCTGTGTACGTACGTCTCTGTGTCCCTGTCTGGTGAACATTAGCGTGCCATTTTATCTCGCTTCGAATCTGCCGCTCGAATTTCGCGGGTTTTGTATGTTAATTAGAAGAGAAATAATATTCGAGTATTCTTTTTAACGTGAACTCTGGTCGTAGTTAAGAACATTGGTATAGTGTCTTAATATTTGTATAATTATTGGATGATTGCAGAAATTCGTGCCTGATTTTCAGAGGTGACGGGTTTGTTTTAGAAAGATACACCGCTTGTGTTTTATTTTCAAATAACTTTTCATTTCGTTTCATTTTGTTTGCAAATGAAATTTGCCTTGGCACACGCCGTGTGTGTTTTGCTTTCAAATCGGCCACGAACTTTCGCAAACATCCAACAATTATATAAATATAATTATTTTAATATAGTGTCGAAATATTTATTAGAGGCTACAGTAAGTCAGTCTGACAATGCAGTTCTCGTGCGTAGGTCAGTTTCTTCTTAATTGTACTAAACGTCAGATCAGGTTTGACAAAGTGAGTATTGATACGTCACTGATACTCTGTAATGTGATTACCATTGCAATTGTGTTTGACCAATAATGGTTACAGAAACAGATATGTTACACGATACATCAACAATGATTACACGTCTGAAATTCCACTTATGCTCGAATAAAGAATACAAAAACAGTAGGTAACTTGTGTAAGAAAATTAGTTAATTTAAATAGCTGTCGTTAGAATAGCTATCTTAATGTATCACCGTATAATGATTTATTAATAGCCAAATTATTAGTAGATTCCAACACAAATCTACACAACAATTTTTCTACAATACGAAACTATGTCAAATTTTAATTTGTCCTATGTTCAACAAAATTATAAATACTTGATCACTGACTTGGACCGTGTCCAGAAGCCGCAGAGAACACCGACGAACCAAAGATCGCTAACGCTATCACGTTCATTGCAACTGTGTTTTAGGACACCAAGGGAGCCGAGTGTTCCTTATAAAGCGGCGAATATGTAATTTCTGCAGAAAATAATGCTCTCCCGGAATTACTCTCCCTCTCCCTGTTTCTTTCCATTTATCGGGAAATGAGTAATACTTCTAAGGCCGTGACATTAAGGGCTAAATCGACGTTCACAACAAACGTATTTTTCCGGGATGCGGTTAGAAAATGGCTCAAGTTATTAAGATAACGCCGAAAAACAGTTAGCCGATCCGTGTCGCAACGCTTCGGTAAACTGGAGGATTCGTGGGAATTCCCGATTACGAAAATTCAGGAGCTCGTTTAAAATTTACCCAAACGATGACGTGAAATCATAGTACAAGGTGTCTTATTCGAATCAATTCACAGAAATATCCAAACTATTGTAGGAACCGACGGACAAATTTCGAGAGACCCAAACGGGAATCGATGCCGGCCGAGGCTTTGCACACTACGTCCAACTTACCCTATTCTCTCTTGTCGGTTTCCTATTTAGGTATGGATGTCCCGACACTACAATATTTTATATTCTGTACAAAATTTCGAAATTAAATATTGTAGGAAACGACGGAAAACTTTCGAGGGACTCACCGGGAATCGAACCCTGGACCTTCGGCTTAGCAAGCCGAGGCTTTGCGCGCTACGCCAACCACTCCCTCTCTATTGTCCCTTGCCGGCGTCCTATTTGGGTAGGGAGGCCCCGATACTACAATATTTCGTATTCTGTACAAAATTTCGAAATTACAAATGTTGATATTATGCATTTAATATTGTAGGAAACGACGGAAAAATTTCGAGGGACTCAACGGGAATCGAACCCTGGACCTTTGGCTTAGCAAGCCGAGGCTTTGCACACTACGCCAAAGTCACTCCCTCTCTATTCTCTCTTGTCGGCTTCCTATTTGGGTAGGGAGGCCCCGATACTACACTATTTTGACACTCGAACATGTGTCAGATAAAAAGCATCTTTTCGTTCTTTTCTCTTTAATCCCAACCGTATATCTTCTACTGAGACGAAGTAAACAAGTATTAAGCATTTATGATCCGTTTAAACGGAACACCCTGTGTACGGTGTATTTCTCTTTGTAATCTTTATTTATTGAATTTTTGCAACGATGCAACATGGATTCGATTAAGAACGGAGGCAATATTCATCGGCAGTAGGAGAAAGATTTTTAATATCAATATCGCGTTGAAAATCGTTTCGCTCATTACGTATACGTGGACGGTTATTCATCGCGAGGCTAATTGACCTGTGCAAATGTCGAGTTAATACACGGTCGGTCGACTCCATAAATGCGTAACGCGACTGTAATTTCATCGTTTTCACTTGTAGCCCTGTTTTTTGTCCGGCATGGGCATCGAATTAATTAGCCGGTGGCACGAGAACGGTATTATGCTCAAAAATAATTTCAATTACGCGTCGAGCTGGCTGCGTTGTCGTAAAACGAATCGTTAACGTGAGATAAATATTCCAGACGGAGTATGTGTCCCTGTGTGCGTTTGCTCATCAACAGGGGACAAAGCAACGAGATATTTATTATTAAATTAACGCGCATCAGATCCTGCTTGGAAAATTTGTAGCTGATTCGCGCTTGAACGTGCTCGAATATAAATCAACCTTTTCACACGCCTTGTTCTCCGATTTTCTTGTTACCCGTTTCCTCAACTTTACGGCGATTAATCATTTAGAGGTAATGAATTCATCGGCGACGCGAAAGTCTGAACGACGAATGCGCAAATCTCGATTTTTATTGGAATACTTGATTAATAGAAAATATTGGGTCGTTTTATGAGTAACGTCTAAATGTAGGAAAGTGAACTGTTAGACAGATTGTTAGACCGGCATTGGTAAAACTCAAACGAGTTCTTTTTCACTATGAAAATTTCCGCATTCATCGAAAATGACAATAGAAAAATTTAAACAAGTTAACTGCGAATTAGTACCACATCCACAATGGATCACTCTATTTCTTTCTTTAGAAAATTTTTTAAATGGCAAAAGCTTCAGAAGCACATACCTCTTAAAATTCACATTAAATTAATTTTTTAATCCAAGAATTTTTGTGAAAAAGGGATTGAAAAATTTCCCGAAAAATGGCAAAAATGGTTCTGAGAAATAAACAGTAAACGTGAATACAATTATGTTTTCATCGAAACTGGGCTTCTGCGATGACGTTATTTATTGGATGACTTAATGTATGCATTTCCATGCAAACAACGTATCCAGCTAATCGCATTGTCAGTCACAGAAGATCAAATACTTTCCACGCACTTGTCATCCGCGAAAACAGTTGCGTTTTTAGCGCCAGTATTCGAGTAATTCGACGACCCGCGAAACGAGTACGAATCGGGTTCGCTCTCACATGTCCAGCAATTTTGCGTCGCTTTATCGGCGCGCATCTCGATGAGAAAAAATTATCGCAACGATTTTCGTAACACGTTCGCGTATTTCATTCGGTTGTTTCGAACGATACGGTCCCCTCTATTCATCTGTCCCTCGCGTACCAACTCCGTGAAAATATTTCAACGAGACACGCGCGGAACGCTCGAATTCCTGGGAAATGTGCATTCGTAATCCGGCGTACAAGCGAATCCCCCATAAATTTGGATAAATGTCACACGTTCTCTCCTCCACCTCCCTCGTTTCACCGTAATTTCAATAATCGTATCGCTCCAATACGATGCACGCGTCCGACCAACATCTCTTCACCGTCTCGTCTCTTTCCTTTTTCTTCGTTCATTATCAGCGATTACGCTGCCGCGGCTGAATCGATTAAACGATCGGATGATAAAAAAAAAACCGTTGTTGCGTTACTTCTCTTGCGCAATGCAGCCGCTCAGGTAGAGATTAATTCGTTCTTCACCGGTGACTAATGGTCTCATCTTCGACTCTCTTGGAGTCCCAACTGATACAGTTTCGTTTGGACGAGCTTTGCTGATGAAATTGAAAAGTGGCTTTGGAAACGAGGAGTTCACGTTGTTTGCTGATTTTTGAGGTATATTTCTCGGGGAATGATGGAACATTTTTGTGACGGTTAAAAGTTGTTGGGTCGATGACTATTTTTGCGACGATCTTAAAATTGGCGACACTTTATTTGGAGTTTCTAATTTTGCTACAGCACGAAAATTCGCGACCCTTTATTTAGGTTTTCTAATTTCGCTGCAACGTTAAAATTCGCGACTCTGTATTTATTTATTCTAATTTAGCTGCAACTTTTATTTCTTTATTCTAATTTCGCTAGGACGTTAAAATTCGCGACGCTTTATTTATTCATTCTAATTTCGTAACGTCGTTAAAATTCGCGACCGTTTATTTAGGTTTTTCAATTTTGCAGCAACGTTAAAACGCGCAATATTTTGCTTATTTATTGTAATTTTGCGATAACATTAAAATTCGCCATTTTTCGCTTATTTATTCTAATTTTGCGATAACGTTAAAATTCTAATTTTGCAATAACGTTAAAATTCGCAACCTTTCGCTCGTTTATTCCGCAATAACTTTGCAATAACGTTAAAATTCGCGATTTTTCATCTATTCAAATTTACCACTTCATTAAACACCGAACAAAGAAAAGTACGTAACTATTTACATTACCAAGAGAATGAAAAGATGCCAAGTAAGAAATTAATAAGAAAAAGGGGTCAGGAATAACCGGAGAAAGCTAAAGTTGCCCGAACAGTGTACGGAATTCCTCATTTCAATTTCCTCCTGTAACCCCATTCGCGAGCGTTCAAATATTCGTTAATCATCTGCATTCGAAACGAAGACGCGCCCGCCCGCTGTGTCTTGTTGCGAATTTCTCGTTACCATGCATACGAGAATCGCGTCCATTCTCTTACGGCGCGCAAAAACGCGTGAACGTGCAACTGGCTGGTGAATCCCGCGAATTATAATGAGCCAGAATTTTGGAAAACTTTTGCAACGAACGCTCGATGTATTCGTACACTAGTGTGTTCACGTGTACGTGTGTGTTAAGCCCATCGTGCAATGCGTCGCGGTAGAAACTAAGTATTAGGAGTTGGAAATTCCGAAGAGATTACAACGAATTAACCGGCGAGGAAGTTCACGTATAAGAGGGATGCCGCGTTTACCAGGCGCAGGCTCGCCGTAGGAACATCGTTCCACGAAGACTGTTATTTCGTGAAAGCAAGCGGAATAATGCGAAACGAACTTCGATTAAATTGTCGGTTCCGTTCTGCGCGGAATGTTTCGATATTTGGCGAAGTCCGTCAAGCAAACGGAACGTGAAATATTCCCATTCTGGCGTGAACTGTTCATTTGAGAAGACTATTCGAGTGTTAGATAAATATGTGTGTTTATCACAGCTATCTGCATTTATTTTCGTCGATTTGTTCCGTGTGAATGAAACGTCAAACTGAACGTTCGCCGTTCGAATAAATGACGCAGGCTGATAAACATCTTATCGAAGTGCGACATTGATGCGCCTGTTGCTAAAACAGAGATAATTCAGAGAGTGAGAGAGGGGGAGGGAGCGAGATGATTCGATAAGTAGAGAAAATTCAAAGAATCAATTACCGTAACAAAAAAAAAAAAATGGAAAATTCAGAAGAACGTCTGCATATCTGGAATATAAAGTGGCAGACTTTACACATCGATAAATTTCACTCGACGCGGCTACACCCTCCCGTCCCCCGTTCTCGGATCCACTCGACAATTCACGAACGTTCCCACGTGTCACAGGCACACAACGGTGACTAAATTCGCGGCTGAAACGAAACTGAAACAATACAAAGAGTCGTCCTCGAAGCGAGAAGGGTTTTAGAGCAGTTAATCAAGAGCTCTCCGTTCCCATCAGTCGCGCGAAACGCACACCGCCACCAGGGGCTAGAATTTAAATGGTAATTTTCGTTGGATTACACGTTATAGAGTTAGCCGTTGGGGCCCGGCTTTCGTCGCCGAAACTATTAATGCCCGCCTTATTTTCGTTGCATTTGCTCACTCGTGCCATAAACAATTGCACATTGCTTGGTTCGCGAGCCGCCGCATGCATCGCATTTATAATACACTTGAGATAGGTGTACGTGGACCACCACCCCCTCCTATCGTCGTATACCTCGTCGCTCGGTGTACGGCTATCATATAATTTTAACGCTGCCGCCTGGCCTTTTACGTTTACGGGAGTCGTTTGGCGTTGCATTAATTCCTGTGGCCCGCCTAGCCTACCCACGTTCGGAAACACATGTCTGTGTTAGGAGACTACGCGACTTTCATTCTTCGGTTTCGTATTCGGTTCACCCCCCTGGAGAATCGATAGACGGTTTACGTGTTTATACAGGTTTTATCAGTTTACTGTTGAGTAAGTTTTGGACTGTGTTATTCTTCGAAACGAAGGAAAAGCATTTTGTTGCTGAATTCTTGATGTTTTAGTGTTTCTTTGGATGCGTTTGCCTTGGACTGCCGAAATTAGTGATCTCTAAGCTCTGAATAATAATAAGTTTTGGACTGTGTTATTCTTCGAAACGAAGGAAAAGCATTTTGTTGCTGAATTCTTGATGTTTTGGTGTTTCTTTGGATGCGTTTGCCTTGGACTGCCGAAATTAGTGATCTCTAAGCTCTGAATAATATTGATTGCGAGTGCCGATCTCTGAGTGTTCTCTAAGGTCTGAATGACGTTGATTGTGAGTTCAGACCTCGGTGTTTCCTAAGCTCTGAATAATATTGATAGTGAGTGCCGATCTCTGAGTGTTCTCTGAGGTCTGAATGACATTGATTGTGAGTTCAGACCTCGGTGTTCTCTAAGCTCTGCATGGCATTGATTGTGAATTCAGACCTCAGTGTTTCCTAAGCTTTGAATAATATTGGTAGTGAGTGCCGATCTCTGAGTGTTCTCTGAGGTCTGAATAATATTGGTTGTGAGCGCCGATCTCTGAGTGCTCTCTAAGCTCTGAATAATATTGATTGTGAGTGCCGATCTCTGAGTGTTCTCTAAGCTCTGCGTGGCATTGATTGTGAGTTCAGACCTCGGTGTTCTCTAAGCTCTGAATGCCACTGATTGTGATTTCAGACCTCAAAGTGCTCACCAAAATCTGAATAAACTTAAAAACTGGGAAAAGGCGTATAAATAAATTTAACCGTCGATAAATCAAATTTTGAACAGCTTAAACTACCCAACGATAAAGTTAATAAAGAAGATCACGATATATGATTCTCCCTGTACACACAAACACCCAGGCTCGTCCATAAAGTGCGTTCATTGAATAAATCCTCTCTGCGTGCATCTTTCTATTGTTACTGAATAATATTAGTTGTGAGCGCCGATCTCTGGGTGCTCTCTAAGCTCTGAATAATATTGATTGTGAGTGCCGATCTCTGAGTGTTCTCTAAAATCTGAATGACATTGATTGTGAGTTCAGACCTCGGTGTTCTCTAAGCTCTGAATGCCACTGATTGTGATTTCAGCCAGCAACAATACAACGACGGAGAAAATAGAAAAAAGAAAGGCTGGAAGAGAGAAAGAGAAGAGAGGATACGCTTTAGCAGCCACGAATGGGAACACCATTTGTCGTCGTTTCAATTGTTTTATTTCCGGCCCCGGTTTTATTTACTGCGGAGTAATCGAAATTGCGGTCGGTCGTAGTAAAAAATTATATAGAGACCACCCCGTTTGCACGCACTGTCTACGTTACCGGCTGAAATGCTGCGTGGATAAATCGTACCGGATCGTTCAAATATTATTTCTGCGCTGCTCGTTTCACCGCAATTCGCGCGCTGCGCAAACCCTCGATGTTCGCTCGCGCCCGAAAAATCTACGCTCGTCGCGAGAACGAACACAGAGCTATCGATACGAGAACGTACCAACAGTGTCCATCCAGTGTGCAATTGAAATGTATATATTAAAATAATTGTTCAAATATATCGGAAGCGTCTGAAATTCAGGAATTTATCTTCGACGTTGATAATTTCTCGTTGTTACAGAGAACAACCGGGAAAACACTTCGTTACAGCGGCTCTATTTCGAACTCGAAAAGCAGCTTAGCGCACCTAACAAGACGTAGCGTAATCTATTGAAATCGTATCGCATGATTAAGACGCTTCTGAGAAAACCGATAGCCACTTCCGCCGGCATTCAAAAGCATTAATCCCCTTTTCCTATCCGCTTTTCCTCTCGCGCTTGCACTTCGCCTTCAGTTACGATCCCGTGAACTCTCGATTTTCTTCCCTCGATTCGCGGCTTTTGTCTAGAACCCGGTTTCTTCGCATTCCTCGAACAGAGAACGCGAGTTCCCGTTGTAAGATTCTTCGTTCTGTTCAGCTTCTCGTGCAGAATGTAGAGAAATTGTATTACGTTTAATCAAATGGACGGATGGCAAATTAGACACTATCGAAAAGTTCCTTCACGCGTTCATCATCGACAAAATAGAAATAGAAAGGGTTGAAGTGAAAAAAATGAAAGATGACAAAGAGTGAAATCTCGTAATAACGATACGACGATATAATCGCTGTATTTTCACCCTAAGTTTACAGACATTTCTTATATTCCTATCTCAGCCAAATCGCACATTTTCTTCAAAAAGCAACTTATTTTACTCGAAAACAACATATACGCTATTAACTTATAAATGAAGCTATATGATATTCCATATTTATATAAAATTTATAGCAACCATAAGTGGTAGCCGAGAAATGCAAACGGTTTCCGCGATTTTCCCCGCGAAATTGGAAACGCGTCGAAATGACGCGTCCGGTAAATCTGTCGTTGATGTCGATATCAGATCAGCGGTGTTATCAGTTCCGCGACGTACTCTATTGCTCTGGTTTGAAAGCAGACAGTAAGTCGCGAGACCGTTGAACGAGAACACCATGTGGACGTTGTTGTTGTTGCTCAGCGCGTTAGGATGCGCTCACAGCTTCGACCCTAGGATTATAGGCGGTAGCAGCGCGAGCATTCAAGAGTATCCGTATCAGGTAAATTAATCACGGTTTACGCGATTTTGTCGAACGAGCACGCGACATAATCCCAACGGTGTAATATCGAAATAACGACTTTCCGTGTAATAGGTGTCTATTCACTACTACGGCGAGCTGTCATGCGGGGGCTCCATAATCAGCGAAAGCTGGGTGCTAACGGCGGCGCATTGTGTCTACGGGTTCGTTGTAGATTGAGTTATGGGACGGGAACACCGCCTAGTAGATAATTTATTAATTACCGGGAGACGCGATATTCCGTGGCCGCGTAACGAAGATACACCGTGGTTAATTGCGATTACCATCATCTTTCAGACTGAGTCCCAGCCGCATCCAAATTCGTCTGCACAGCACTTACAATAACGCGGGCGGCGTGCTGATCGATGGTATCAAGAGGATTACCTGGCACAACAAATACAACCCGCATACGTACGACAACGACGCAGCGTTAATTATGGTAATTTCTCCACTTATTCGCTCTTTTTGTTTTTTTCTTTTTGTTTTCGGTGAGCTGTTACGAATTAGTTTGGACTTTTACACGTGTTATTCGCTTGGTTCTAAGAAGTAGCACATTTGCAAGTAATAGGAGGCGAAGACTTCTAAGTATCGATAGTATATCTGCGAAGCATGATAAAAATTGTTAAGGAGAATTTTAGGGGACAGTTTTCGGCGTGGTTTAATCTTTCGTAAGATGTGAAGAAAATTTCACGGTTGTCGCCTCTTTTTTTGATATACGTAAGTGTAGGTCATGCTCCGACGAATTCAACGAGTATAGTCACTCAAGATCAAGCAGGATCACAGGTGAAAAGAGAGTAGTTACGTCCTTCCAATGGACTTAATGTGTCTGGTTTACTATTGTTTGAGGGAGGTTGTAATTGCTTTTCCTTCACCTGTGACCTTGAGCGACTATAATCATTGAATGCGTCTAAAAGTATGGACTGCACTTATGCATATTAAAAAATACACAATTTCCTCAAAAAAAAAGAAAATTGATGACTTCTTGACCTTTCCTCCTGTAAAGTTGCACCGAAAAGTGTGCTCCCTAAAGTACTTCAATTCTTCCTAACAACATCTTTCTCAAATCATCAATATTTCTGTAAATACTCGATAATGTGCTCCATTCGGTATACCAGGGAAGAAAACGACATAAATCTTACATCATCTAAGTACACGTTTTATTTGCACAATTCTTCGGATTTGAGCATATTGAAAAGATCCTACTTGCTTGATTACATTTCAGTTAAAGAGTAAACGCTATTCTAGAAAGATAAAGACAGATAAGATAAGCCTCTCGCGATTAAATCAACATCTGTAAATTCATATTTTACGAATAACAGAATTTGAAATCGTCGAATCTGTGCTAATATATCAGAACTCTGTTTCAATAATCTTTTCCTCGTCCTTGCATTCGAAACTCGCGCTTCCATAATCTCTCCTCGTATTTAACCCTTTCGCTACAGCAGGTACACTTATTATCCAGCACCTGTTCGAAGGATTCTTTCAATTCGCGTTGCCTGACTTTCAATCGGCAGCAATTAGTGAAATTAATTAATCCTCGGACTCGTACTTTTCGCGATCGCTAAATTCAGAGACGCGTTAACAAAGTACGGTATTATCAGCGGATTAAACAGTAGTCTTGCAGAACTGCGTGCGTAAAGGTAGCAGGACTGAAAATCTGAGGTTTCTGAGGAAGGACCTGATATATACGTGTTCGTGTCTTGAGGAGTGGGAGTTAGGATTCGTAAGAGTTTAGGTCAGTGACGGCGAACCTTTTGAGCTCGGTGTGTCAAAATTGGGATCACGGTCACTTGTACGATCACGGACTCGCTATGGTTCAGCTCCGAATTAACGATAGAAGATCTGTTATTTGTGATCTGCTCGGTTTCGGCTGTGAGATGACTTAAGTCGATGCGTGTCACACAAAATGTCTTGGCGTGTCACCTTTGACACGCGTGTCATAGGTTCGCCATATGACTTAAGCCGATGCGTGTCACACAAAATGTCTTGGCGTGTCACCTTTGACACGCGTGTCATAGGTTCGCCATCACTGGTTTAGGTAAACCGAGGGCAGGGTTCGAGGGTGAGGCGGAGTTAGTCAGGAAAGGATGAATGATAAGGAAAGGACGAAGCAAAGAAGGCTAATACTCAAATCTACATCGCGATTTTGACTAATAGACAGTGTGTGTATACAACGATACATTCTCAAGCCTCTTCTGTCCGCAGTTACCGAACCCCATAATCATAAACGTGACCGCGAAGCCAATCAGACTGGCGGAATCCTCGATCACCGTTCCCGCTGGAAAAACCGCGGTGGTGACAGGATGGGGCCGTTTGACGGTAAGTTTTTCCCAGCTACGCGTGTGTATATCGTTCTGACAGCTGTTGCACGACAAGGTAAACCCGTGTTTGACGTGGTGGCTCGATGCTTCGGTCAACGGTGACGTTCGCCGAGACTGATTACCTACCTGTGCGAACTCGTGCAAACATTAAGGTTTGTTTGTCGATCGGTCGACAATGTTCGCTCGTCACGGCAAACATTCGTCGCGGCTCGCGTTTGCGCTGCTTCGAACGCGCGTTTCGCACAGAAACGACACACTGTGAAATGTTCGATTGCTTCCTAATATTCGATTCGAATGTTCGAGTCGATAATGTTGGATTGTTCTTAGGCAAACGGCGGGATGTCGCCTAGCTTGCAAAGTTTGAACGTGCCCATCGTCGATACGAACCAATGCAAGAAGATCTTCTCCAACATCGGTCATGTTGTCACTGAAAACATGATCTGCGCGGGAATTTTGTCTGGTGGCTACGACACCTGTCAGGTATACGTCTTTTTTTTTTCGTTTCTTCGAATCTGTGTCTGTTATCACCCGGCTTCGTTGTTTGCGTTGCTTGGATTTTATCCTTCGATCGAATTGAAAACATTCAAGAAGACGAGTTGCCTTCAAGAACGATGATAATAACGATCCGATAAATATAGACATTTCTCGTGTCAAATAAGTACCAAGTTCTAGAAATACTCGGGTGTTAGATTAAAAATTGAAGTTACAGGAAATGAAACTGTAAATTAGAGATAACACGATTCGCTCGAGTCAAGTATCTGGCAAATTATGATCGATATGGATTGTATAACAGATTTCGAAGAGATTAATACCGAGAAGTAACATTTTGACAAAAATTTCAGATCAGGACTCTGTTATCGTAACGGCGATTTTTCGATTCTTGGAAGTAGTCGGTATTAAATATTGAAAAATTCTTCAATCTCTGTACGTTTATAGGAATTCACTTCCTCCCAAATTTTTTCTTTCAGCTTCCGTCTATTATTTTCGTTATTTAATTTTTTGTTCAACGTTCATCTATTTCTTTAAATTATTTAATTCTTTGCTTTCAACTTTCCTCTAATCTTCTCGTTATTTAATTTTTTTAACTTTAAAATCGTCAATTCACAATTATTAAGATAAAAAGCACTCGACTGATTTAGTGAAAAAACAACTTTTGTCCAACAACCATGGTCTCTGCACTCAATTCTGGAGCACTATGGCTTCCTTCAATAACGAAGACTAAGAAACAAAAATGGCACCTTTCTGGTCCGCTGCTTTTTCCCTTCGCCTGTGCATGTACTTTTTAATATCGACCCCCGCTACTCAGGTTGCACATTCTCAAAGGCTTATTTGCACCTGACAGGGAGATTCCGGAGGTCCACTGGTGTACAACGGCGTTCAAATTGGCATCGTATCCTGGGGCTACCAATGCGCGACTCCTCAATATCCTGGAGTGTACACGCGAGTGTCCGCCATACGAAGTTGGATAATGAACACGGCGAAGCTGTAGAATTAATGTCTCACTGTGTACACTATATTACCGGAAGATTTATTTTTCTTCACGCTCAAAAGGGGCGTGTCGCACCGGCTGTAACGAAAATGAACGTGCACTTCTTCCTCGTTTATAAATCCTTCTATCAGATTCTTCTTCGTGCAACACTCTCCGAAGATTTTACGTGTAAAATATGATTTAATAAATTTTTTAATACGAAAGAAATTTAATCAGGACAGTCGTATTAATCTGGAATATATTAATGCACAACCCTTTAACATTCACTTTTCTTTTTTTGTCAATTTGACGCGCCAATTGTGATCAATTTTGTGTACTTTTTTTTTAATTAATTCCTAAGCGCGTGCAAATAAGTTTCACTTTACTTATAATTAGTAACTTAGAAATTTGACGTGCCAAAGGTGATCAATTTTGTGTATTCTTTTTTTTCTCATTAATTCCTAAGCACGTGTAAATAAGTTTCACATTATTTATAATTAGTAACTTAGAAATTTGTAAATTAAATTTATAAACAATTTGAAGTTTATAAAAGTAACTTACGTTTCTGCAATATGGAAAGTGAAAGAAAATAATCAAAAACATTACACTTATTGGACGATTAATATACACGTGCGAGAAAGGGTTGAGGATGTGATAAAATGAATTTGAAACTACTATTACAATAGAAGCGTCATTTTTATGCAATACTTTTAAGGGACAAGTTTTCAATATATCTTATTTATTTCATTTTGTCAAGTGGAATCGTTCTCTGAGAACAAAACACGTATTTCTCACTCCTGATTAAAATACGTCTGATACGGCTGAAACACCAAGATATCTCGTTATTTGTAACACATTCCAGATAAGACACGAAGGGAGGAATATGAAAGAAGTTAGGCGCGTTCCTATTGAATTCTCCTAACTGGACTCATTTGTACGAACTTGTCCAGCAAAGCGCATCGTAGATGCGGGAACATTCAATATTGAAAGGACCGCCTCTACGAGCGTTCGCATGATTCTGGTGCTGGTTTGCAAACACTCGAAATTTCGGCCAAATTGAAAGTAAATTCGAGTTGTAAAATTTACAGAATCGCAAGCAGTTTCCGAATCGCGTAGTTCAAACAGTCCCGGAAATCCAAAAATTTCGCATTCCGGAAGCGCAACGAATCGTTCCGTGAATTTATATCAAAATTATTTCGAAACATTAATCTCGTCCTCCTTCTTCTCCTTACCTCTTCAAGAACTAAGCTGGGAAAGTCTCCGATAGTTTCGTTCCTCGCACTTTTCTCTGGAAACGAATCATTGTTTCTCCATGTTGCAAGAGGAAGAAGATTAGAACAGATTGAAACGAAGTTCTTTATTAATAAAGTTAGAGATCCTGGAGATTGGGAACGCAGAGAGTGCTCAAAACAGTTCGATCCCCGTAGACAGCTACCGAAGCGAGAAAATTACTTGCTTCCATGAATAACTGAATCGAACAAATTTCGATGATATCAAAATTGTCAAAAAAAAAAATAGCACGGAGCTAAGTAAATTTTTCTCTCGTCCATGTGAATTCTTTAACCCTTTGTGTGTCATGTCGAAGTACTGATTGTTTGTACAACGCATAATTAGGTCATTACTTCAATTTTTTTTTTTTTTTCAAACTAAATTATATCAAAATTTCATTTTCGTCAAATATAGATACACGAGTTCACGATCACTCCAACTATTTTTATTCAAAATTTATCGTTCACAGTGTTTCATGAACGCATGTATGACTCCATCGTCCTGAAAGACTTAACGAGAAAAATTCACACAAATATAACATCGTCGAAAGTAAAACTGTCCGTGGTGTTCCAACAATCGAAGTTTCATCGTGCAATCAAGTAACCCTTTTCGAGACACGCTTTCACCCGGAAGCTTAACCAACCGATGCCCTCTCCCGTTCGTCCATTTTCCGCCATTAAGCTTAATTCGCGCGTTAACTCCACGCGCGCTCGATTTTAAAACGCGTTAACCCGAAATTTTCGAATGTCAGCTGGCCGCGTACTTTTCGGAAGTTTTCACCCTGAAAGCCAATTACCAAAAGGGAAAAATAATTCCGTGTGCAACTATATATATATAGGGAATAATGAAACGAGCTGTTCGCTACTAGGAAAGTGGAAATTTCATTTCTTGACTCGACGCCAGGCCAGGCCAGCCAACAGAGAGGTCTTGCCGCGCCAATCAATTACCGAAGGAGCTGTTTCGCGAACATTTCGGAACAATTAATGCTCCTTGCGCCACGAAAATACGATGATCAAGCAGTTTACTTTCCATCCAGTCGAGCGCAACCGCTGTCCGTTTTCTTGGAAGGGCTGCGCAATTTAAAACACCGTCGAACCGTATCGATTAGCGTTTGCGACATTATCTTAACGGCGGTCGGACCGGAAGCGGCAATAAAACTCGCGAGCTACGATGATCAATTCGTCCATTCGTGAAACGACCATGTTGATTGTTTTACGGACAGGGAGAGATTGTCTTTCCCCCTCTCGGAGTATGAATATGTATCAGTTTTGCAAGAATAATGCGCAGTACCAGGCAATCCGTGCTTAGTGTGTACACGATCGATTGTGGATTACGAAGGCTTAAGTTCTGACTTCTGTTGCTTGATGAAAAGGCAGAGAAAGCAGAGGGAAAGCTTCGATTTGTAGGAATGAACGAGACGAAATTGAGAATTCTTCTTACGACAGTCGCTATTTTTATTTATTTCTCCTAAAGAGATTTGCAAGTAATTATTATACTTGCAGCGGTAAAGGAAATTTTTTGAGGAATTAATTTTCAATTTATTATTAATGCTTTTAAGCTGTCACACGTTTAGCGATTATTCGACCAATGCGAAAAAGCTTCCGGTTCTGTAAATCGCGATACACTGTTCGGTTAAAATATACACCCTGTTGTTGGGCTTGAACGATATTTTTCGAAGGCAATAAAAACTTCACGTGACTGCGAGCATACATTTACAAATTTCACTCATTACATGTTTATGCACGCAAAACGTGCGGCGCGCGTTCCGCGATTTATCTTTTTCAGCATGCCCGAAAGTGCATTTACGAAACGCACTTTTTAATGGCAATTATAAATACAAAGCGACGCTGTATCGTGCGACATTAATTCTCTTTAGCAAGCGTTTTGCAATTTGTTAAACGAAAGTGAAATGTTTATGCACTTAAAATTCAAAAATGCTCCAAGTTTAATTTTAGTTCAATTAAAATTCCCAATGCTCTTCAGTTTTTCATAATTCACACGAATTCTCTTACATTACTTCCACTAGACACAACTGTTCCGAATAAAAAAATAAGCTTCCCAAAATATTCTTCACCTCTCAAAACACTCCGATCGCAATTTGCATAACGTCACATCTCCCCAAAAAATTAACACCAAAATCCGCACGTTCGAACCTTTAAACCACATATCGGCAACCCTAATCTATTTCAGCGAAGTTTGTCTTCAATCTTCACGTTAAATAATTACGTCGTTCGTTATATTGTAAAATTTATGTAGAGCTTTGTACCAAAGCATTGTATTATAAATAAGTGGAATACGAAGTAGCAACTTGTTTTAATTCGTTTAATATTAATTTGTGTTGGGAAAATGGGTTTTAAATAAACTGCTTCAGCTTTTAATACTTGGATATTTTATTCCTCTACGCATCGGAAGTGACTTCCTTCTGCTATTAATGTCTTGAGAGGACTGACTCTACCGGGCACGCAGAGCCGGTGACACGAGGCACCGATGACCTCATCTAACAGGGGTGCGTTATCACCTTACTCACATAAACAGTGTGAGAAACGGTATCTCCGTTCATCAAGAGAATAAGAGATTAGTTTTTGTTTGGTTTACGAGTAAAACTAACAATTTGTTTGATTTAATAATTTGTTCCAGCCCTTGACTCGGAGACAGAATGATAAAGGTTGCCCGTGCCTGCTTTAAACTATTCACACTTCGCACAAACACCCCACCCAATAAACCAACACCTCCGATCCATCTCCTTTCAGTCAGAATTCACATTCCCTCTTCGAAAAACCGCGTCTCGAGAACTCACGCACACTCTTTGCAACAAAAACCCCCAAGCGTAACAACGTGATAGAAACATCGGACCTCCTCGACAAGAGGACTGGCTATAAAAGGCTGCTAATGAAAAGACCTCCTCTTCAAAAACACCCTGTGCACGAGCATTCGTACATACATCGCGTAAAGCTCGCCCGTTCTCACCTTCTCCAGTCGCGAGGAGAAGATCGCTCGTCATTGAGAATTATTAATTTTACAGTCAACTCGGACGTGCTTCGAGCCTTCCGTCTATGTACCCGTTGCATAAACGGTTTTGCAGCTTTGCACAGGTGGCTGACTCGTAAAGGGCGGCAGAAACGAGCGTCGCTATTGTACGTGCCGGCGTTGATCGGCGTCTTCGTTTCGAGAGAGAGAGAGAGAGAAATGGGACCTCGATTTCAACGGAGAGAAAGAGAGAGAGAGAGAGTGCAGCGACTGGTTTGAACGTTCGTAAGAATCATGCCAGACACGGCATACTAATGCAACGAGCATTACGCTCGCTAAGCCATCGATATCCTCTGAACAACAGTCTGTCGTTCACCTGCTTGTGCATCGTGTGCGCCGAACTTGCCTTAACGACTATTCGATACGTCCACTGTATTTCGAATTTTCCTTCTGGTCCACTGGAACGGTTCGCCTAGCATGAGAGAGGCGGGAGATCCTTTGAACGAGAGTAGAATTGCTGTTGCGACGGTGTATGATCGATATCTTTGGAAATTTCTGTCAACTACATACCTTCTTTTTCTTCCTACTAAAAAGTGCGGCAAGTTTTGAAAATACACACCAAGTGTGTAATAAATCCTTCGGTTCTGATAAATTGTAGAACGATGTGCGAAGGAAAAATGTATTTTATCCGGCGTAACAGATATCTGGGAATTTCGATTAGGTTCGAGGAAACTGAGGTAAGTAATTATAGTACGAGTTATCGTCGTTGGGAATTATTCGAATTTTTACTTTACAATCTTTTAAGTGGCTCGATGCTGCTAGTCTGAGGTCAGTAATAAGTGTCTATACACAGCGATGTTCCTTTTAAACGCTCTTCTCTATGGATCTCTAGATCTATTAATGGAACGTCGTTAAATCTGTTATTTTGGAGATTAAAAATAAAAAACTGTAACGAGTTCTTAGACTGTCTAGTTATAGCATTGAGAAAAAGCAATTCGTATAGTTTCTTTGATAAAAAAATTAACGACACAGCGCTAGCTATAAAGTAACAGGAATTATTGATCCTTCGGCGGTGCAAACAATCGATCCGGTAAAAATAATCCTGTTTCCTTTCTTTCTCTCGCTTCTTCACGACACACACACACACATGCGCGTTCTCGTTCGTCACAACGCGATTGCGGCGGGTACGGTGAAAAAATTCTGTTAATTGGTTTGTACCAAAGGAATGATGTTATCGCGCGCTCACGGCGCTCAAGTTTTATTTTAGTCTTACTCCTTTTACGTAATCGACGAGGAATCTAGGTCGACAGCCCGAGACTTTCGTGGATCGGAAATTTTTCTCGTGTTCGGGTAAATTGATACGAACAACAATTAACCCGAATATCGAAATAAAAGAAGGGCGAACCTGATGGCGGACAGGTAGTTCTTTCGCCAAGTTCCCGCCATGTATACGCCGCTACTGTTGTTGCAGCTCGTTTCACTCGCGTTCTCGCAGATTTTCTCAATGGACGACGGTAATTCGACGGATACATTTCGTAACGTTTTGGCGAACGGTTCAGCGACGGAAATGTGTCGTTAAATTTTGCAACTTTCTCGCGCATTCGCCTTTACGTCGCTCTTGTTTTTCCTTTCTTTTTAAAGAAAGAGAGAATAATTTTCTTCTGTTTACGAGAGATATCGCATCGGTCGTTTGCGACACTGAAATTATTCACACGTCGAATTAACGTTTTACGCGGATTCGTTTTTTGTTCTCAAGTCAGTTCTTTATTTAGTTTCGTCAGTTCGCTCAATTTTCGATTTATCCGGCCGAAATTGTTCACCACTCGACGTTTCCAACAGCGCAACGATCTCCTCCGCGATCGTTTTCACTCGAAGGAAGGTCGTTAAATTTCGTCGAAATTCATCGAGCAACGTCGCTCTTTAATTAGTAGTTTTTCAACGGGCACCCGACCGGAAACGCAAATTCAACTATTGATTCTTCCAGTTGACGAGGGTCGCATTGTTGGAGGCCAGCCAGCGAGTATCGAGGATCACCCGTACCAGGTAGGTATTCTAAACGATCGGTGAAGATTAATTGGTGAACGAACGGTTTCGTTCGCGTCTTCAGTCGAAACGACGCATTATCAATCGATAGACATACATATTCTCGTGTGCAGTGTCTGACAAAACTTTCTTCGATAATTTCTTCTCGCCAACGAAAGTACAGAAAGAAGAAGAATACGAGAAAGCAGACAGTTTCTTGATCTTTGTATTATCACAAATCCCTCTCAGCTTCCTTCTTTTAAAAACGAAAAAAAAAGGTGGGAAATCTGGGTTCGGCTCGGCCAGAAACTCTCGAATAATTTCTCTCTTCTCCGAGCAGCGTGGCATCGAAACAAATATAAAAGAAAAAGAGAGATACCGCGAACGTTTTTCCCCCGGTTTAATTCTCGAAGCCCATAAATTAGTCCGGGTCTGTGAAAGGGGGAATAATCTAGCGTGAATGCAGATATAATTTCCTGGTCGCGACCACGGAAACGAGCTCCCTCTCTCGCTCTCCGAAAATGAGCGAGAAAAAAATGTGAATCCACGTTTAACAGGCCGTATCTCGCGACTATTTTCCACGGCCGTTCGTCCGCAAAATTGATACATCGTCGAATGAAATTTATAGGTCTCCCTTCGATATAACAATCGTCACGTATGCGGTGGCTCTATCATTAGCGAGGAATGGGTCGTCACCGCCGCGCATTGCGTTCAGAGGTACGTACACATTTTTCCCTTTGCATTAACAACCGCTGTAGAATCTCGTTACGAAGGACGCGTGTGCACAAATGTTCGTACCACCGGTGACTGTACGCGTCCGCTAACGAGCGTTTCTTCCGACCCGTTGCAATTTCAGCACCTTCCTGCGATTCATCTCGATCAAGGCGGGCACTTCGAAGCTGACCGACACGGACGATATAGTGACCGACGTGAGAGAAATTATCATACACGAGAAGTACAACAGGAGGATCGCCGATTACGATATCGCTTTGATTCGGGTAGGTAGCCACTTTTGTCACAGACTGCACGTAAGAAAACATGGAAAAGAAACGTGTTCGCGGGAGACTTCGTTTTCTAGTGCACTTCGCTCGTAGAATTTCACCGTGCACTATTTGCAGTTTCGTACACGTTTATTGGATTCTTTAATTGGATCTGTACAGAGATTTTCGTACTCTAGCAATTCATTTCAGTCTCGGAGAATTTACCGAAATTCGAAATACTCGAGAAATGTAGCTAATATCGGACTAACACGCGCGAGGAATTTATTACACAATCTGTAGAACTGGGTCGAAAAAATAGAAATGGGAAGAGGTTGAAATTAGCTCGTTTGGGAAAGTGTTCGTATAAAAATGGTGTCGTATCGCAACTTTTACCGTGGAAACGAGGGCAAGAGGGGGGAAGAGTGTAGTAGGTCTAGGTCGTGTTTATTCATTAACAGGTCCCCGTGGAATAACGCTGAAGAATTCAATTACCGTTTCACAGTCAATCCCGTAATGCACAGGCTGTGGGCGTTCGGTTGGCAGCAACCGTTCAAAACCAATTACAATTTCAGTTGGAAAAGCCGCTGGTGTACAGTTCGCGGGTGAGACCGATCCTCTTGGCACCGACAGCCGATCATTATACAGCTGGTAGCAATGCTTTGGTTACCGGTTGGGGAGTTTTGAGAAACAGCGGCCCATTGAGCAACCGGTTACGTAAGGTCGTGGTACCACTCGTTTCCAGCGCACAGTGTTCCCGTTCATACGTGACACGTCCAATCACACAGAGAATGATCTGCGCCGGCTACGTAAACTCAGGTGGCAAGGATGCGTGTCAGGTAATTGCTTTCGTTAACACGTTCACTGCCACGCCAGATTTGCGTGTTTTGTCCCAGGGAGGCCGGAAGAAAATTTTCATTTTCCTGAGCATAGCATTGTATTACGCTTATTGTGCTTTATTATTACTTTTTTTTTTAATTTGACATAACGTCGACGATGTTCATTTTATTTTAATTATTCTAAACATTTGAGGCCTTCTGGTCACAGGTGACCAACGTGTTAACCCTTCGACCGTGGGAAGACCAGTTAAGTCGTTATTGGTTCATCGATACTTCGAACGCGATAGTTTATTTTCAATTTTACAGTTTTGCCTGCGTTAAGTATGAAATACGTCGTACTCACATTTGCAAGGAGAAAAATGAAATAATTAGGTATAATTTGCATTCGTTTTTCATTGTAAACTAGAGAGACTCGATTTCTGCTTGAGAAGTGAACTCAGGTTGAAAGGTTAACCGTCGCCACGTGCCCTGGTTCACGTTAATCTTTTTTTAATAGCGTCGTTAAGTTCGGAGTGTGCCTCGTTTGAGAATGAACCAGATGTATCGTAGTAAGTTGTTTCTTACTTAAGATTCGACGCTGTGTCTGAGTTAACAGTCCGTTTTAACAATTTGACGAATGGGAAGTGAACGTTGGAGCTTGATTTTGCAATTGGTTCGTCGTGAAACAAGTGGTGATGGAGATAGATTTGAGGTTTGTTAGTGATATGTATAGTCGGTGAAAGCGATAATGAAGTCAAGGCATTAAGGTGTAACGCAGGCTGATGTAGACACACTCAGAATTACTTAAAATACTTAATCTTTCATTGAGCCTTCTTTGCCTCCTGCTTGATAGTGCTTGCAATATTTGTTGAAATTAACACCCGAAGGTATTAAGGATTTAGGTGCAGACAAATTCTTTAAATATACCGTAACGGAAGAGTCAATTTCGAATTGCCATTGAACGATTTTACCGGTTTTTCAATCTTAATATATTAGTTCCACTGACTGTACCTACTACATGAATAATATCAAAATTTAAAATTAACCAAAATTAATTGATACAAATGTATGAGAATTGTCTACATTTTTAATTACAATTTTCTCACTAAAATTGTAGTAACTATGTATTAAAGATAATATTGCCTCTTTTCCTACGAAGAACCACAGTAATATTTCTTGCAATTTTCCAAAGCAGATTTAACAAACTTTCTGGCTATTTTCAGTTTATAAATTCTTCCTTGCGGAACTCGTTATACATCGAGAGACATTTTGTGCAAACAACCTTTCAAGTTTTCGTTAAAACGTAGAAAAAACTGCGTGCACTTCTAAATAGACCGCAGAAACTTCACCGTGTGCCTGGATCAAGCAACGAATGGAACTTAATACACGTTACGTTAGCGTTTCACGTTGCTTTCTAAAAGTTAAATATTGTAGATTGGGAAAAAACCGTACAATCT